GTAAGGAGAGTAATGAGAGGATTGATTTAAGTGGAAAGGTCAAAAATAATTTTGGTAAATTACTGTTCGTAAGTGTGGCTGTTTAAAAAAGTAGGGTTATTGTTTGAGACAGCTTCTGCATAAGATCTCGTTCTGGGCTTGGATTGAACATCTGGGACCTCAGGCAAGAGAGGCTTAAAATAAGTTGTATGTTTGTAGTTTTTTTTCTTTTTGGACCGGATGTGTATTTCTTATCGTGGAATGATTTCGTCTTTTTGTACACCGGGCAGCCTTTATAATTGGCGGTATGATCACCCGAGCATAAGGCGCATTTAGCCGGTGAATCGCGTGACTAGTTGCAATCTGCAATAAGGTGGTCCATGCTGCATTTAACACAACGAGGGGTGTGTAAGCAGTATCTGAATGTGTGTCCATATGACCGCTTACATTGTGGCTGGTGGCGATTTTTTTCTCTGACTTTCGATGATGACTTTGGAATTAAGTAGTTTAGTCAGTTTAAAAACGTCCATGTTAAACTCGTTTTTGGTAAGATGTACAGCAAAAAGTGACAACGGCCGTTTGTCGGTCCTATTTAAAATGCTTTCAACGCCTAGGACAGAGAAACCTAGATCCGTTAGAACCGTATCGATGTCCACTGCGGGAGTGGAATGATGGAGGTGACGAATTATCGCAACGACAGGGCGGGTATGACGGGGGGCATATGTGTGAAAAGAATGATCTGACTCCGTGAGATAGCCCAAAACTTTTGTGTGGTGACCACAGTCATTAGTTGTAATTTTAAGGAACTCCTTAGATGTTGACAAGGTAAAACCATCAGGTCCAACCATGGAGATCAGATCGCTCTTAGGCTGATTAAGGTTGGCTGGGTTTTATATAAATATTGGTGGTGACCTACGGGTTGTCCAATCTGAAGAATTTTCCACCGGTATAGATTTCGGATTGACCACGACCTCACCCGTAGAGGGAGATGTAACTGAGACCGGTAGAAGGCAGAATACATCGATTGTATGGTCAATATCCTCAAAGAGTGAGGCATATCGATTATGAGTGACAAAAGTTTTGGGTTTTTTTGCCGGTAATAGTCGGAGACGACCAGGGTGACGAGGACGATGATAAATTACGTTTAGACCGATTTTGATTACGAGACATGATGTTTAATGAGCGATCACGATTTATCTATATAGATAAAAACAGCGTGGTTAGGTTAGATAGCAACAGATAGCGCTAACGAGCGTAACGCGTGCGTTCGATGCGACGGTCGACACTGGACTGAACGGCATTATAAAACATGTATTTTTTTCGTATTCAACTTAAAATATGCAAATAACATATTTTAAATTCAATAAAAGATGTCGAAATGCCAACAATGAGCTTACACTTTTTTTTTCAGTTTTAATTAATTTCTGTGTACACGATTGATGTGTTGACAAAATCAGATCTTACAATTTTCCCGCGCACATTCGCATCATGATTTTCTCAGCTCCTACAACTTCCGTGCCCTGGTCGGGTAACGCGAATAAACCATTGTTGATCGTAACGTCTGCTCAAAAGCCTGCGGCTGTGATCAGTGATCACTCGATCAATGACAATAAAAATGAACGAACTCTTCCGTGGTAGTCGTGTGCTACCGGACCGGCGATGCTTTATCGTCGAGGACGACATTTCCGTGCCACCGCCTCGGCTCGTCTGTGTTCCCCCCACCGGCGTTTTTCCCCTACGGTTCGTTGCGCGCGTCCCCCTATTGTTCCGGCTAGCGTTGATCATTAAATTTGCGACACACGTTACGTAACACTATCATTGTCTATTTTATTATTATCATCATCTTTTTACTATTTTTTATTATTATCTTTGGGCACCGGCCGCGACTCCGGTGCGTGTCCGGCCGGTCTCGGTGCGCGTAACCGTTTCACGGTCGGCGCCCCCGCGGTTTGCGGACGGGCGCACGTTTCGCAACGATATCGCGCGCGACGGATCCGCCGAGAAAGGTGCGTTTACACGGTCGTGCGGCGAGCACTTGCTGGTTTCGGGAGGTCGGCCGACTGGCGGTCAACAGTCGTTGCCGACGACCTTTGGCCTCGCGGAGACTTCTTATACGCTCTTCAAGTGGGTCGACTGTCGGTGGTCAAAGTCAACGTTAGATCGGGGGACACGAACGACGCCACTGGTCGTAAAAGTGCGGTAAAACATCTCCGCATCGGACCCCGTGCGAGACGGAATGTCCTTTGTAGAATGAGATAAACGTTAATGTTTTCAACGGTAATCACGATCAAACTCGACGTGTCATGCTAATCGCGTTGTGTAATTTTAAGGCACGCATTTACAGTCCGTTTTCAGCCCTAATAAATGGCCTGTTGAAGCAGCCCGACCCACAGTTTCGCTGGCGCTGCGGATCCGCCGCTGTTCACGAGCACGGTTTCGAGAAGCATTGGTGGGGGTATCATGAAAAAAATACCGTACACATTTTCGCACGACAGGAGGCACTCGTTATTTTATTTCGATAACAAAATCATAAGCATACGAATTATGAGATCATATGAAAGGCCCGGACCCCTGGTCAGCTGTCCCTTCTGTCTTGCCCTTCCGCCGGCGATCACGTTGCTGCCATACGTCGCGCGCACCGCAAAGGACCAACGGACCACGTTCATGCGGCCGCAAGACACGACGGCGTCATTATATAGTACGCATATATAAAACTATGTATAACTTACCAACTACTGCGTTTGATTTTCCCTGAGCGAGAAAAAATTTTAAAAAAAAAATATAAAAAATGTAGAACATTTTACGACGAATACTGCTCGGACGAGGCAAAACGTTGCACGATAGGTTTTGCGCCTCCGTTTGCGCTTTTTTTTTTTTTTTTTTGTCACGACCAGCATATTTCGATTACAATAATACTTTTGTCTCTTTTACGAATGTCTTCTTGGAATGGCGACGGTAGTAAAATATATATTTTACGCTTACGCAATACGTCTCGACCGAACTGCTGTCAACGCGTACGCGCGTTTCGTCCTCGAGAGAGTTCGACCGATGTAGTTTTGACGTACTGCACTGCACGGTTTCATATCCAGGTGTTCTCTTTTATTATATTACTCTTGTATTATTCTCTTATTTTTGGTTCGCACACAATTATTGTGAGCTCGCGGCGCGTTGCACGTGAAAATCTCCGTAACCGTGATAATTCCTCCGCGCCCGTAGACGCACCACGAATTCGCTTTTGCAACGATACTGTTGTCTAACAAATCATGTACTTTGAATACGATACCGTATAACTGACGAAAATAAAAACCACCGGAAAACATTTTTGACAATGTTATCGAAATACTTTGGATTTGATTTTCCGATTCAGGAACATTTATTTTTATGCGATTCGAATACAGGCTTTGTAGTACAACATTCTTGTTTTGCGTTTGATCTACAATTATTTTAAAATATATGAAGTATTCACAACGGTAAACAAAATGTTCATTAGGGATAAGCGTGAAATCCGAAGATCTGAATTTTCCGTGCATCCGGATATTCAAATCCGAATTCGAATCAAATTCTTATGAATATAAGATGATACCATGACTGAATGCCCAATTAGTGTATCCTTAATGCGTGACCTTAATTAAATTTATATGAACTCATAAAAATGAGTCACTGAACAGAAAATTTGAATTTAATTATCCGGATGATCCATGAAATCCAGATTAGTGTCCATCACTAATTTTCATACAGTACCGACCTTCGATATGAATCGTTTTTTCGGTTCGTCGCAGTTTTCAATTTCGGACCGTGAGCGCGCTCGCCAAAGAAACCCGCAACGGTGTTTTACTACCGCAACGGTTTTCCTTGTTTTTCTAATCATATGGATCAGCGATCCCCAATTGGACTTTGGAAAGGGCCGAATAATAATTATAAAAATGTCTTGCGCGCCGCATATAAATATAAAGGTTTATAAATTAATTAATTATAATTATAACGTTACATACAATTCATACTTCATAAAAATGATCGAATTTATTAGAACAGAAAATCTATAATAATTATTGAATTCAATCGAAGTAGAGAGTGATAACATAAACAAGGATAAGATAAATAAAATATATTGCATATATCATTACACCGAAACAAAAAAAATATGTATTTTATTTTTATTTACTCTATTTGATTTTGAATTTTAGAATGTAAATTTAGTGCGTGCGGACCACCCCGTGCAGGGTACAAAATGTGTGTGTCTATATATTGCGTGTATATATACACACGAGAGTATCGGCGGGGCCCAGTATTCTTGTTTCTGAGAAAAAATAAAAAATACAAAAAAAATGTATGTATGTATGTAAACTAATCATGAACAGCTTGCGGTACGTTCGGGACGAGTGGTGACCTGCAGTGAAAAATAATTACTGCCGTATTCAGACGGTGTACAAAAGGTTGTCATTCGGGGGCGAGTCCAGGTACATCAGACGGTTTTTTTCTTCCCTTCTTTTCGTCGTTACTACATAATATATCCGTACGTTTACGCCGCACAAATATACACGCGTGAAGGACGACGTTGCGTCGGGCGAGTAAATTATGTTTTCTTTTTTTTTCGTGTCAGGCGCGTTGTTTAACAGTAATATTGACAACGGAAATAATACTATAACATAATATAAATTAATTAATAACATAAATAAACAATACACGATAAGATGGGATAAGGTATAAACATCATTCTACCAAGTGACAAGAAACAGAATAAAATATAATATGATAGTAACCATATTACGGTTGAGTGTTTTGTGGACGCTGTTAGTGGATTTATACTGTTTTGGCCCAGATACGAACCACGTTCATTCCTTGGCTTGTGCCATTCCGGATGTCTTCTGGAGTGCAATTGTGGACGAAAGATGTGCATGTGATGATTGTCTGTTTTTCTCCGCATAAGCACAAGGTGTCCGTGATATTTATCTAACCGCAGTTTTATTAGATTATCTTTCGTTCGTTTTCTACTTCGTATGCGTCAAACCGGCCATGTTTCATTATGACCCGGTGGAAGTTACTCGTTTAGCACCCAGCTAGATGCACTGCTCATCTGAGTTCTCCGTCTAATCGTTATTTCTACTTCAGGACGAGTTGACTCTTGTACATTTCATTGAAACCATCCCCCGGTCTTGAGACGACGGGGCTGCGGAGTTATATCGTACATATGATTTCGCGAGTTCCGATATCGTTTTCGTACTTTACCAGTCCGCTCGCGTGAACCTTCTTATCGTCGGGGGAGTTATTCACTGAACGTAGGTAACGATGTGTTTTTCAACTGTCATTTTTCTCGTCCGATAGGTTTTTCGAATAATTTGTACACAATGCCCACGACAATTCCAAATGTCTGAAACATAATAAACGTGTTAGATTTGGATTATTTAGTTGTTGATGTATATTTTTGAAATACACGGTGTATCAAAAGTCTTCATCCAATTTCAAAAATTTATAATTATATTAAAAATGAAGATATAAGGGTGAAATAAAGTAAAATATATTCTTAAAATAGTCAAGTTTTATTTACTCTCGTTACAAATGTTTAATATAACCTCCACCGGCCGCCCGACATACATCTATGGGTTAATCAAATTCTTCCTAAATGTTGCTGATAATTTCTAGTGTCGCGGCATTGACAGCATCTTTGATTCTGATTTTAAGCTCTTCCAAGTTTGTAGGTAATGGTGGTACATACACTTTATCTTTTATTTAGTCCCATAAAAAAAAAATCACCTTTTGTGAGGTCAAGGGAACGTCTGGCCAGTGATGAACTTCGAACGAAACAGTCGAACATGCTCGATGTTTTCGTCAGAGGTACGAGATCGACCTGAGTGTTTCTGTGCACACAGACAACCACTTTCTTGGAACGTTTGGTGCCAACGTCGAATACTTTGTGCAGTAGGAGCTTCAGTTCCCTAAGTTCTTCGAAAATCACGTTGAACGGTTAATGCCGACTCGCACTTATTGAAACGTAAGACGCAAAACGCTTTTTGTTGCGGAGTCGTCATAATGAAACAAACTAACGGTTCCTAGTTCACTAACCATTGCGGCACTAAATTTATCAACTAGATAACTTAAAATAAACTTAGTTATCTAATCTTTCCATTAATACATCGGTCATTAACCTGTGATTAACCGTTGCCGAACTATATTAGTTCGTAATTGGATGAAGACTTTTGAAACACCGTGTACATGATACGACGCAATCAACAAAATGTTCGCAGGACCATTTTCCATCGAGTGTCGATAATATCACTAGATAATAAAAGGATAAAATAATATCTTGTTACGGGTTGGACATGTAGTCACACGTTCAATTTATCACAGAAATATTATGAGCGCCCAGAGTTCTTGTATAAAATATCCTTTTAACAATTTCCGTTCCTCAAAATGTGCGCCACTGCAGACAAGCGCCTGTAGTGACTGCATGTAAACGCGCCACTACGAAGTACAATAAATATAACATATCATTATGTCCTTCTGTAAATAAGAAATCGAAATAAAGTGTGCTTGAAAATTTTCATTTTTTTACACTTCCCAGGTCGATTTCTAGAAAATCGCGACGAACGTGCGAAAAAACTGCGTGCACTCGTAAATAATATTACGTTTCGAACGAAATCTGATTTGATTATTTTCGTTGTAATCTGGAGAAAAATAATTCCGGGTTATTGACATTTATCACTCATGGTAACTTTTAAGTGCGCGGTGAGATAATTTTCGAAATAACGCCTATTGTTTCCGTCAGATTTTTTTTTTAAACCATTCACAATTTTAATTTCAGAAAATTTAAAATACAATCCGCAATAGTGGTATATTATTCCGGCCGTAAAACCGGAATACAGAAAAAATATTGTCCAGATTTTTTTCGTTTAGACACGTTCAAGTATATAATGGTTTTGATTGATTACACATTTACACTAATATTGTTTTTTCGAAAAAGTTTGTACAGGTGTATTCAAAAAACTTGTTGGCGTCCACCCGTGGACCAGCCGAAGTGGTAACATGGTAATCGTCGTCCAAAGCAATTTCATGTTTCGAATAAAACTGTACAAACAAAGTAAACCAAATTTCGTTCGTGGGCTTTTAGTACGTACGTTATACTTTAAAAAATGTCATATATATATATATGTATGTATATGAATTGTAACAATCATAATTGCGTCTAAAAGAATCACCAGGATTTGTAGAGCAGCCATCATCCGTATATTATTTATGTACAAAAAAATAATACTAAAAAAACACATATCTTAATTCGTCATGACAAATTGAGAGATATGATAGATCACATCCATCATAAACTAGTTTATTATAATCTAAGACCATCTTTTAAGTGGTTTTTGTTTCAAATGTTCGCTAGTCAAAGCTGAATCGTTAATAATTTCATCGGTTCGGATTTACGGCTAGTACGTCTTATTTCATGTGACATGAAATAAAATGAATAATAATAATAACATGAATGCTTCTAATACAGAAATACGGGTAGGATCGAAATAATTTCTCAATCGGTATTATTTGTTATGCATTTAACACGCGAGGGAGACGAACTCGTGGGACGAATGCGAAAAATAAATCTTGCAAACCGGTCGGATTCCTGACGGCTTCTCCTCTTACGTTGGCTCACGACTGTTGGCCTAAACGCTAGCGCCTACAGTTGCGCGAACTACGGCAGTTCGCCGTTCCCGTTTCCGATTGTACACCGTCGAACCAGAGGCTAAAATATATACTTTTTCGTACTGCACACTTAAGGATTTTGTCATTCTACCCTTTCAAATGTTAACAGTAATGAGAAATACAGTTAAAATAGTTGGTATTCTTGATTTTGTTGTTGACACATCTTGGAATTTTAAAAACATGTAAAATAATCGAATAAAAAAATGTAAAATTAAAAACAAACACCATAATATAAAGAACAGGACCACAACATATTGTTTTAATTTCGTACTACACACTTAACATTTCATAGTAAACAAAGTGTGTCATACTGCACACAGTTTTAGTCCCTGCGTCGAACGGAGACGGAATGTGTCGATGCGAGCGGATGGGTCGCTGGCCGAGAATTCCAATGGACAGTAGAAACGCGAGGACCCGGATTTACAGCGATCTTGAAACGATACGTTATAATTACGAAAATATACGGTCATACGATTTTTTTAATTTTATTTCATTTCATCCAAAAAATTAATTACAATTACACGATAACAAAATGTAAACTATTTCGTTAAGGATACATTAACAATAGCTGATACGTAAATCGACTGAGCTCAACTCGTGTCTGGTATACGGAGTTCTTATAAATTATAATTCTTATTATCAAATAGGATACTTATATAATTAAATTAACTTATAAATTAAATTAATTAACTAAATTAATTAATATTATAGGTGCAGTAGATATGAATTTCATGGAACATTGTAAATAAAATATTAATTATAATGCGGCAGTGATTATTGACTAAACGTTAATATAGAATTCTATATCATAGACGTTTGATTATTGTCAATAGCATCAGTGTTGCATAGGTTATATTCGTGTTTAAATTTTGGTCACAATCGCGAGTATTACATAATTATGAATAAATTAACTATTATTGGCACTGCTGTTGTTCGACATGGTTTAGATTAACTGTAAAACTGATGAGTGTGTTAGACAATTGATTCAATGCGGTATGTTAACTGTGTACGAAATTGGTACCGCAAACAGAATATCATATTTTCCGTGCAATATTTGTACAGATAATTGATTACATAGTTAGATATAGCTGAAATCGTTTGTTATTTAAATGTAATTGTTGATTAATTTTGGAATTCGCATTGTTCGAAACCATTAACTGACGCAAACATTATCGACCCGAGTAAAAGTATTTACTTTAGCGTACTATACCGAATAAATACTTATTGTGAGATTTATTCAGACAAGCGTCTGTATTTATTTTCAAATATAATCCATAACCAACTTTAAGAGCCATTGATAAGAAAAATGTTGAAAATACATTTTTGTCGACATTTTTTCTATAACATTTACTCTTCGTTTTGCAAATTTTTATATTGAGTTTTCGAAAAATATGTCTTCTGCATTTGATGGCTGATTTGAAAATCACTTTTTTTTTTACCTATTCAATTTCTTCTCAACGTTAATTTCATTTTATCGGTTGAAATAGAAAAATATTAATCGAATCAATCTAAAGGTTGAATCCTTTATGAATCCGTTTAAGATTGTACGTTTTGCTGTACAACAGATCGAGTGGATTGATTTTCAGAAGATTCAAATTTGTTTCGTTTTATAAACACGGTATTTGTCACGAGTTAATTTTGTTTACTTATCTCGTCGTAGTCTCGTCTTGGTCACTTAATGGTTGCATAAATTGTCATGATATCGCACGATTTGACGTCGTTTGCAGTTTTAACGAGTTGATCTACGGGATTACACGAAAATTATTCGGTTTGTGACTACTTCACGTCGGTGTTTTTTATGAAAAAATTATTAGCTTTATATACGACGAATAAATAATATATATACAATTTTACTGATATATTTTTTTCTTTTCGTTCGTGTTGATTTTTCGAAACGTTATGAACAACACAAGAACATAAAAGTACCTCTTTCGTTCGCCGTGCGAATCGAGTTTATTCATCTTAACAGGCATGTCAGTCACGTAACGTTAACAGTTATTAACAGTACTATTGGTTTGGTACAGTCGTCGAGGAAAAAATGTGCACTATTGGGATCTATACACATAATCGGATCATACCTAACTCGATGTTTGATGTTTATACCAGAAGCGGCTTGATCATGAATTTTGTGGTTCACTGAACCACCAAATATTTTGGGATGGGTGTCATTTTTATAGATGGGTACTTGATCTTGGCATCTGGCAGCGGTAGACAGGGGTGGTTTATGGGGAGGGGGACGCCCTTCCTTGAGCCGTGTAAAAACTAAAAATATGAATGAACAGCTTACTAAAAATCGTTTTTAATTTTGCCGATAATTTTTTGTCAAAACTGTTAATTGTTTACAAAAATGTTTGTCTGTTAATGAAGTTTGAATAAGAAAATTAATTTTTGTTTTAATTTTTATATTGATACCCTATATTTTTATATTATGTCATTGTGGTATAAAGTTTATAGAACTTAAAATTACTTCTCATGTATCAACCAAAAGGAAAAAATAAATGGAATATGTATGCAAAATGTTTTCTCCTCCCCCCCCTTGTGACTTCTCAGGAACCGCCACTAGCGATAGGTTGTATACAATTGGCAATTTAATAATAATTAGGTAAGTTTTTGTACCTTATATGACTTTTTGGTGGGTAGGTGGGTGGTATTAACTATGCTTGAACCACTAGCTGAAAA